TGTGCTCGTAGAACATTTGCAAACAAAAGTAAATTATTTGAAGTTTTTTGTAAATGTGAAATATTTTTAAACAATGGTCTATTTGGAACATTTTGCAACTTAGAAGATTTTTTCAAATCATAACAAAATTTTTCAAGATGTCCAAATCTACCATAAATATTACACTTAAACACATGTGGTTCTTTAGAAACATTTGGCAAAAATGAATTTCTTTTTAAATCAAAATAATACTTGGCCAAATGACCAAAACGACCACAATATTCACACTTATACACATGAGAATGTTTATGGTTATCACTATGTGTGTGTGTGTGTATGTGTATGAGATGAAGAAGCTTGATGGGATGCACAAACATGATTAGGCTTGTTAGGCTTTTGTGCATTTTAACAAAATTTAGCAATATGGTCTTTACGACCGCAAATTGAACACTTGTAAATTTTGTTATACTTGTGTGCATAGTGTATAGGTTTCTTGAAAACATTTTTGTGGGACTTTGTACACAAGTCCATAAGCTTGTTATTATTAATAATACAAGTTTTTAATGTTGAATCTAAAGTGGATATTCTATTTCTAACTTGATTCAACTCATCATTTTTTACATAAGCATTGTTATTAGAAGTAGAACATGCATGCTCAATTTTGAAAGAAGTAAGCTCTTTTTTAATGTTTTCAACTTCTAATATAGCATCACATTTAGCATGAAACAAACTAGCATTTTCCAATTTTAATTTTTTATTGCATTATTTAAGATTTACATTTTCATTTGCAATGAGATCAAACTTAGTGGCTAGTGTTTCATGAGAGGATTTCATTTCGACATGCTTGCTTTTCATATTAATATAGCTACGTTGCAATTTCTTATACTCATGCATCAACAATTCATAACCATGTGCGAGTTCATCAATAGTAAGATCATTTTCATTATCGGACTCGCATACCTCACTAGGGCTATCGCCTAGTGGCCGTGTGCATGAAGAGGCTCCTTGTGAACTTGAAGAAGGAACCGCCAAAGATCGTCGGATCGCCTCCAAGTTCCCTTGATGTGCTTCAAATAATTTTCAAATTGTATAAGCACTATCAAAATGAGCAAGTTCGTTAGAAATACATGGACCAAAAGCATTATGCATAAATTCTAACACTAACTTGTTCATTGTGAACATTTTCTTGTCATGTTTGCTCCACTTGGATTTCTCCAAAGCGGGCATAATATAAGCATTGTCAATAACTTCCCATAAATCTATATTTCTAGATTCAAGAAAAATTTTGAATCTACAACACCATTGTTCATAAGGGAAGTTACTATATCTAGGAGCAACATTTATATTGTAGTTTACACCAAACATATCCATAATATATGAGCAAGCGAATTAAATAATATCAAAACAAGATTAGCAACAATATTAAAGCTTGGACCGTTAACTCAAGGCGGTTAAACCTTAAATCAAGAGCACCAAGCTCTGATACCAATTGAAAGTACCCTAGAGGGGGGTGAATAGGGTTATTGCTAATATTATTAGATACTAATACTGATTAAAATTAATTAACAAATATATCCTAACAATATTGATATTCAATTTGATATTTGCAAGGATATATGAACAAGAGTAAATAAACAAGTGATAGTGCGCAAATGACAAACACAAATACAAGATATGATCACGGAGTTCGGTCCCCACAACCTACGTCTCCGCTCCTCACCTCGAGAAGATCTCCACTATCACAACCGGGTTTTCTACGCTCACCCGAATAACGTTTACACCTCACAATAAGGTTTTCTAGTTCATCAAAAACTTTACAATTCACACTCTTGCAATTACACTTTACACCCTCTACGTGTTGGTCTCTAGCCCGTGTCTTCCTCAAGTGTTAGGAATTATAACCTACCTCTAGGCATTACCACCTACCCTACTTTTCTTGGGACGACCCCGTATCTCACCACACACTTCTCTCGGTATACAAGTGTATTACAAAGTATATCTCACAATTAGGCTCAACAATAATAAAATGTTCTCTATAATAGGTGAGAACTCAATGTAAGCTCAATCTCACAAATCACAATCCCACAACCAAATATATGATGTATGAAATCCTACAAGCTCAAATAGGGTGTGTGTGATAAAATGAGTACAAATAAAATCTAACTCAATTAGCAAACTAGCGTTAATAAGAATATAAAAATCAATAATAAAATTGCTAGAGAAAAGAGTTAGAAAAACTTCTCTATAAACACAATAGAGGATGAAGAAGATTGAGGATGAATTCCTCAATTGAAAATGCAAGCCTCCTCTTTGTAAACTCAAACACCAAACTTAAACTTGAGAAACAAACTTTTAAACACTTAAAACTCTTGTTAAAAACCCTCTTGAAAAAACTTAATTCTGATGAGAACAATATGAGTTTATATAGGAAGAAAAACCAAGGCACAAAACCCAAGCAAAACCAGTAAAAATAATAAAATAACAAAGGCTAGAAATATAGCCATTGGAGCTGGTCAGTCGACTGACGCGATGCATCAGTCGACTAATGAGCTGACCGTTGTATTCATTTTTCAGCTCATCAGTCGACTGGCGATCTTTATCAGTCGGCTGATGGATCATCAGTCGACCGAAACAAAACAGAAATTGTTTGATGATTGCAGGCACTTTCGTCAGTCGACTAATCAGTCGACTGATGTCATCAGTCGACTGACCAATCGACTGATAACAGAATATCAGCCTGAATTGATTTTTGAAATGAGTTTCAATGCTCTATAAAAAATAGCAAATAAATTCCAAAAAATATAAAACTTTGAAAAAAGTTTATAATCATGAATATGAACATGTTGGAAAAATAATTTTTCAAATTTCTCTTACCATTTGTGAAAACTCAGAAATATTCAAAAGTGCAAAAATACATGTTTTTCAAATATGTTGATTTTGATATTTTAGCTCAAATCAAGTTTTAAAAACTTGTGTAATATTTATATGGACATAATAAAAGATGTAAACAAGGTTTGTATAGTCCAAAACATATTTGAATGTATTTTACATAAAAACACCTATTTTCATGAAAATTCACAAATGTAATATGTGTGTATATTTGAGCTTATAGAATTAACACATATTATATAAAACCTAAAGTTAATTTACCCAAACTTGATAGATCTTCATTGTAGCTTCTCTTGGTAAACATGGAAGAAGTTTGAACTTGGATCTTGACTAGTATGCATAGGCTTCACTCCAATATTCCGCCAACCTCCTTTTGATATCATCGTGAGGGCGCAATCCAACCAACCTCCAACTTATTGTTTGTTCAAAACATAAACACTAGACAAACAATATTAGAAATTGTTTGTAATCATCAAAACATGATTAGAAGATGTAGGCTCATAACATGAGACCTAACAAGTTACACCCCTAAATCTCTATAAATAGCTAAGAATTCAGGTGAATACAGATCCTTTTGGATCATATTCGATGGTTGGCTTTTGTTGAAGCTTTGGAGATCATTTGGCTTGCCTTTTTTTTGAACCATTTTCAGTTGAAGAACTTTGAAATCAGCTGTTTAGCTTATTTCGGTTGAAAAAGGATTAAATTTCCTTTCTGAAATTAACTCTTTCGCAGAATTCTTAAACTCATTTAGCGTTCGAAACTTGCTTGACAAGTTCTTCCCGACGTTAAGTCAAGAAGAGTAGACAAAGTTCCACGAAGTGAGGTGTTCGGATCGTCAACGGGATACAAGAATCAAACTCCCATCGCCACCAAGAAGAACCTAGCCTTAAACAAAGAGGAGGATCCGTCCTTCTCTCTTTTGTAAATCGGAAAACCGATAAGAAAATTATAATTTCTTCTTCTAAGTCAGTTAGAGAGAGATTACTTTGAGAGATTGTATTCGTTCTTTTCTTAAGTCAGTCGGGAGAAGTAATAACATTTCTTCTCAATTTTCTTCTAATTTTTTCCCGCAAACATATGTTCTAAAAGTAGTGCAACGTCTGAGAGGGGGGTCAGTTGTAGGTGAAGATGTTCCCACTCTAGGTCAAACTATTTCTTCAAGAAGTCTCCAAGAAGTCTCCAAGACACTGAGAATTCAAACTCGGATTGCTATAGTCGTGGCTTTTTCTAATTAAGTTTCTTCGGTGAAAAAATAAAAAAAGTGGGAAAAAAAGAAAGAACAGAAAAGTTAAAAAAAAATCATGAATATAGGATAACCGTCTATTCCATAATCAACTAGCCCAATAATTCCACCACTCAAGCAAAGATCCTAAACCAAGACGCGGACATCTCAACCGGAGAATTCCTCCCATTTGAATATTCTTCAATCCTAATCAACAACAAGATCTTCACCAAGATGATGATTTTGTCCACCTTACAAAGGAAAACGTTTTCGCTCCGACCCTCGTGAGCTCTCACGCGACCAAACAAACAACGAAACAAAGCGAAACATCGCTGTCAATCATTCCACATATAACATATAAAATCACGAAACTTCCATCTGTAACATTCTTTATTTTTAATTGTAATCATTTATTATTAATTAATAAGCTGTTGCAGTTCGTCCTTACTAAAAGATGAGAACGTACGTGCACAAATTGCATAAAATAAATTGAAAATAAATCACAACGATGATTGATATTTTATAAAATGAACGGGAAAAAAAAACATCGTAAATTAACTCACTTATTCCAAACCTTATTCACCTATTCTAATCCATAAACATATCAAGAAGACAAAAAAACAAAAACAAAACTTAATAACCGATCCAAAGATAATAACTCACCCTCTCTTAACATTTAAACCCCTCATCTATGTTCTTATTTACATTCTCCCCCTCTCGCTCGAAGCAGATCTCCCCCACTTCACATCACAGAGCACGCATTAGGGTTCTCATCAACTTTGAACACGCGGTGCAGCACCATTCTATCCGGAGCGGGCCACCGCCGCTGCCGTGGCCGTAGGGACCCACGTAGTACTCCATCTTGCCCGCCTCCACGCGCTCGCCTGCTTCTGCGTCACCGCCGCTGCCGGGGTCCTTCTTCCCGCCTTCCTTCTTATCGCCCGCCGCCGCCCTCCTTCGCCTTTTTATCGTCGCCGCCCTTGTCCTTCTTGTCGCCGCCGTCGCCGGATTTTTCCTTCTTGTCGCCGCCGCCGCCGGCTGGCTCTTTCTTCTGGGGGACGATTTCTACGGCTCTCTTGAGCTTGTCTTTGAGGTAAGAGGGGAGGGCGTTGGGGTCCATCGCGCCCTTTACAGTTACTAGGTCCTTCTGGGAGTCTATGTTTACGGTTTCGACCCCTGGTCATAATATAAAATATTAGGGGTGTTTCTGAAAAACGACAGGATTGGTGCAGTGCAGAGGATGTGTTTGCATTTTTGAGACGCTTTTCTTGGAAATTGCAATAACATCAACTGAACATAAACATGTAATTGAAATTTAGATGTGGACCCTATCTATTTCTACCTAAGTTCACATCTATCTAAGTTTATTGATGTGTGAACAACTGTCTATTTTTAAATCAGTGCAAATTAAAAAAAAAATTGTACGAGCACCCCAAGTGCACGAAATCATGAACCACTAAATAGTTTCCAGATCACGGCACAGGATGTTAGAATCTTTGGCCATCTTTGCAAATTTTTATTACTGAAAACAACTTGTGTTTTGTCTTGTTATAAATTCAATGCAATTTCCATTTCACATTTAAAAAAAAAAAGGAAAGATCGAAAGATATATATGAAGTGAAAAACACACTATCCCCAACTACCATAATGAAAATTCATCAAGAAGCTTAATATTTTAGGTGAGAATTAATGAATATATTTCTTTTCCCACACACAATTTTCGCAGATATATTATGGGTAAATATGGAAAATTCTAAATAAAGCATGGTAGAGAGTCAAAATAACTATATGCGTGCTTTAAAAAAATGTTGTTTGTCAAAATAAAATATAATTAACTATCAAATTAATTACCTTTAATCCTCAAAATTGTCCTCCTAATCCTCCGTATACACCCCTCACAATGCAGCCGTATCTTCAACACCACCGTAGAGACTGCAGGCTGCACCAAATTGCAAAAAAAAAAAAAGAATTTAATGCAGTCCTCAAATTGCAAACAGCAAACAAAACTTTTTTCGAAAATTTTAAGGATTTTCAACATTAATTTACCTCTTTAGGCTTTTCGCCATCAGGCTTCTTTTTATCTTTAGAATCAGACTGGGCCTTTTTGGGCTCGGCGTCTTTTTTGGGCGGGTTGGCGGGCGAGATAAGATCCACTCTCTTTCGGGTTTTGGATTCGACCCGTTCACGGATCTTCCAAGGATCCACTTTGCCAACAACCGTTACCTTGTTGTTGGCCATGTCCGTCGATACCGCATCCACCCCTGTCGAAAAATCCGGTCATGAGAATTATTACGAAAAAGTCACATCCGGCGAATTTTTGGCGGATTATGGGGTTTTTAAGGTATCTGTTCAGGCTAACGTGCGCCAGATAGGAAATTTATTAGAGAGAGTGCAATTTTTTGGAGTAAAAAGAAAGCGGCAGGATGGCAAATGAAAAGAAAACAAAAAAAAAAAAATTCGAAAAATGGGTTTATCAAACAGAAAAGAAATCCAACAGTAAACAAGAAAATCAACGAATTTTTAGAAAAAATTGAACACAAAATCAAACCTATATATCCTAGAAAGTTATGTACGATTTCAGACCAAGTGAGCTCGAAACTAAAGAAGTCGTCATGTTTTCAGCCCAACCGAGTTCAAATATGTCTACCTCCAAAATTCCTGGAATAAAAATGCGTGCTGACTTGCTCAAATAAAAAAGGAAAAACAAATGGGTTTCCACTATGGAAAAAGACATCAAAAAGAAAGAATAAAAAAATTAAAAAAAAACCAACAATAAACATGAAAATATAAAAAAAAAAATCAACAGAAATGAGCATTTAAAAAAAAATTCCTCTACCTTCAAAATTCTTGACAGAGTTCTTGATCTTGAGAGCGCATCCCTCGCAATGTATATCGACCTTCAAAACAACAGAAATTGGCCCATCCTCTTTCTTCTTCTCTCCTCCTCCTCCTCCTCCCTCTTCCTTATTTTTATTCTTGTTATCTCCTCCTTTGTTTTTGTTCTCTCCTCCTCCTCCTCCTCCTCCTCCTCCCTCTTCCTTATTTTTACTGTTGTTATCTCCTCCTCTGTTTTTGCTCTCTGCTGCTTTGTTCTCCTTCTTGTTCTCATCTTTCCCTTCTTTCTACAAAACCCAAAATTAGAAAAACAAAATTAAAAGAACCCTTAAAAAAAACCCATTGATTTGAAGTTCTCACCTCACCCATGGCTGCTTTTTTCCTCTTGGTTTCTCCTTTCCCCACCCCCACTGAAGGTGGCGTATTTATAGAAGGGGTTACGGACCTAACTGCTATCGGGTTCGGGTTCGTCACTTAACCCGTTACTTACGATGTATGGGGAAGAAAAATAAAAAACATGTGGGGAAAATGTAATAGGAAAAAAAAAAGAATGAATAAACATGCATGTGTCTTTATGTGTAAGAGATAAAATAAGAAATCTATGTATTCACCCGAGTTTAAGGAGAGTACGTATGAATAAGGATAGAATTAATGAATAAAACTTAGCTGAAAATAATCAAGAATATTAGGGGTTGTTTGGTTCGTTTCCTAGATATAGAGAAATGTATTTTTATGTACAAAAACACAAGTTTTGAGTTTTTTAAACTTTTTCAAGAAATAGATTGTTTCGTTTTGGTTCGCACAAAAAAATAGTGGGAAACCAATGTATTTATTTTTATTGTGTTTGGTTCGCATGGAAAAAAAGGAAAAACTTTTGTTTATATGATAAAAAGCCGACGTGGCTGTAGTTTTCGTCAATTTCACGAGGTTGAGGAAGGAATTGGGGGAGAGAAAAAAATCTGATGTGGCGACGATTTTCACTGAGTTTTCCTTCTTCAGCCCTAGCGAACCAAAGATGAGCAAAAAATTCGACGGAAAACTTATATCCTACGTGGCCACGAAAAATCCACCGAGTTAAAAAACGAATCAAACAGCCCCTTATCAGAAATGGTTGATACGAAAATGGTTCACTTAAACATGGAAACAATATGTACTTAACATAACTAATTGAATATTATCATAATTTTCAATTTACACTAATTCAGCTAAGTTGAGGATTGGTTAGCCCGCAAATGGTGAAAAATTAGATGAATGTTGACGTTGTTAGTTAAAAAAAAGGCATAAAAGTTTAATTTCTTGTGATTTTGTTACGGAATGATGAGTATTGTGAAGGGCACGGTGGATGCAGTGCATCAGTGCATGCATCATGGCGCTGCGTGGGGACTACGTCAAGTGATCAAATCAGGTCGCAGTGGACTCGGACTTAAGCGGAGGCGAGAGAGAACCATCAGTGCAGTTTGGACCAGGGATTTTTTTTTTTTTTAGAGAGAGAAAGTGAAGCAAAAGGGTTTTATAATTTTTAGAGAGAGAGAGAGAGTACGAGTCACGTGGCGTAAGCAGTGAGGGCCGACTCTTTCACGGGCCCGGGCCCATAACAGTCGATGGGTCGTCGGAAAGACGCGGGGAAGTTTTATGCTTCGTACTTGAATGACGATTTTGCCCCTGAACGTACAAATGTGGCAAGGGTGTTTTAGTAGTTAGGTGTGCTATGGCGACTGAAAGGAAACTTCGAGTTAACTTCTGTTATATTGGGTCGGGTTCTGGAAACTTTCGGGTTTGGAACTTTAGGAGATGGAATTTGTAGGTGCGGAAATTTATGTTTGTAATCTTACTGTAAATTCACCATTAAATCATTGGCCGTATATTCTATATTAGTTAGACTAAACAGAGAAGTTGTGTCTCTTTATTCGTCGTAGTTAACATGATATATATTCAGAAAACTACATTTCAGAGATCATAGTTGATGACTTGAATCTATGATACATCAATAATACATCAACCTATTCATTATCTCAAACACTCTTTTTATCTTATGGTTAGCTGCTCAATCAAGATTATTAACACAAGATAGATTATGTCGCATGAGAATTCTCAATACAAATCAGTGTATTCTGTGCTCAAGCCATCAGGAATCCTGTTGTCATTTATTCTTTGAATGCCAGTTCTTAGCTAATGTTTGGAATATGGTGATGGATTGGCTAAAGTTTAATTGGAGATCATGTAGTTGGGATTGTATTATAAGTTGGTACAGCTGCAGGTTGAAAAGGAAGAGGTTTACTGAAAAATTAAAGAGGATGACTCTTACAGTTTCGATGTATCTGATATGGCAAGAGAGAAATCTAAGGATTTTCCAAAGTAAAGCTTGACAACCTAAGGTAATTTTTCGAACAATTAAGATCTCCATCTTCTCAAAAGTTTTGAATGAAAAATTTTCACTTCATATATGAGAGAGAATGGAGGGATTGTAAATGTGTTCTCTTGTGAGTTGAAATCCAGAATTGTTCTGGTTTGATATGATGTAACTAAACTTCCAATTTGGTAAATGAATAAAAAATTTTCATTGACAAAAAAAAATACATCAGCCAAGTCCATATATACACACATCAGCACTTGTTACTCCATTGATTAATAAATTATGAGGAGGAAAACTCGCAAGCATAAACCAATGCCTTTATAACATAGAAAAGCTAATAATTGATATTTTCTTGTTGAAAAAGTATTAGTTGTTTAACATTGACAATCACTAAATTCTTTACTGAATGTTTTGCATGCAAGTAATAATAAGATTATTCACGCACCATTTTTGAGCCATATCATGATTTTTCAAGATCAATTCATGAACTTGATTCATATCACATATAATGACAATAAACATGTTTCTTTATTATATAGATACTGGAAGCATGCGGTGACTGTGAAAGTTGTAAACAAAATTATGAATATTTAATTAGTTGAGTACTTTCTAAAAGGGTCAACATATAAAAAATGATATAGGAACATTTGAGTGCTTGTAGTTGTATATGAAGATGCATGAGCAACATATAATTAGCAATTTTCGATCTTACAATTGAGATACATCTCAATCTAATTATATTTAGATCTTAGGAAATCTGAGCCAATAATTATATAATTAATACCATATCATTTTCCCATTATTCCTTTAGAACAACATACGTCTCTTATTATACCTATCAAAAGATGTTTTTATCTTAAAAGACTAGTAAAGTGCACGCGCGTTGAACATGGGCATACTTGTTCAGTATTGAAAATATTAAATATGGACCGCAAAATAATAAAGTGAATCGATGATTTAGATTTTACCAATATTCATGTAATTAAGCTGGTTTAGATTTTACCAATATTCATGAAACTCACATAAAGAATGTAATAAGAGATTTATGTGCTAGGATTCTTAGATAATTAGATTGGCCAATAGCTGGAAGACCTGAACTTATAGGGTAATGAGACAAAAAAAGGAACCAATTCATATCATGTTTCTAAATTAATTACATTATCAAAGTCTATATTAATCATCAGCATTTAAAGCTGAAACAAAACATATAGATATAGAGAGTCAAATTTACTAAATAGCAGATACCCGACGTGGATTAATAGAGTGAAAAAATTATAACCCTATGCATGAACAAACTTATTTTGTAAACACAATAGCAATATTAAAAGATGATCTAATATTAGAGATGGGTGACACATGTTTGCTCAATTTACACTAAGGTTCAAGCTATTTAAGGAAATGCTAATTAATAAGAGCTTTCCCAAATAAATTTCTTAAACTTAAGACTAAAATTAACATATTTGAATGATGGAGATATATCATGCAAAGAGACTTGTCACTTGTTGAAGTTTCGTGACAATTACAAGAGAGACTGATTATGTCTTTTTTTTGTAAATGAAAAATTATTATTCATCACCAATATGGAAATTTTGTACATATCAAAATCTCGTGTACATATGAGATATCTATATAAACCCGTAACTAAAGCTCACTAGAAGAGTCATATATGCACAGAGCCTAAAATTAGTATAAAGCTAGAAAACTGTCAGTCAGCAGCAAAACACTACCAAGCTTCCCTTATATCACCAATTATCTTAAGATCTTCATCTCTGTCACCAGCATATCAGCAGCCAAAAGTGAGCATGAACACACTTATCCATCAACGTTTTTCTTCAATGTAAACTGGAACAAATCCAGCAGAACAGAGAAAACCTCCCAACCTCAATTATTTATAGGATGAAATCCATTCCTTGCATTCTTCCTGGAGGGAACCATTTAGGGTAGCAGACAAAATGTTAAACTTAATCTCTTTAAAAATCTGCTCTGCAGTCTTGATCTTTTGATTGAATATTCTGGCATTTCTCTCAATCCAGATGCTGTAGATTGTAGAAACAAGAGCCATTCTCTTAATTCTTTGCTTGAATCCCCTTCCTCTCAGTCTGGTACAATACCAGTTTATGATTTGCCTCCAGCCATAAGATCTCCACCTGAAATGCAACCAGTCCATAACCATGATCCAAATATCTCTCGAGAAAGTGCACTCAAAGAAAAGGTGATCTCTGGTTTTAGTCTCAGTGCCAGTGCACAAGCAGCAGCAGTTAATAGACACAATCCCCCATTTGATAAGTCTATCTTGAGTGAGCAATCAGTTTTGGATAGCTAACCAACTGATAAATGAATGCCTGAGGATGTTTGCAGTCTCCTAAACAGTGCTGAACCAAGGCACTGTAGAAGAACCATGGGAGAGTTTGCTATATAAGGCTGATATTTTTATTTTAGAGTCTCTCATGCACGATTGGATGAGAAATTTGAGACACTCAGCTCCACCATAAGAAACCAAAGCCTTATCTCTTACTTTCAAGATTTGTTTCTACATCCAAGAATCCCCGTTCTTAGCTTGAATCTGCCATATATCAATCTCTAGTTCACAAGTTGTCACTGAATCATTGCGATAGCATTTCCATAGAGCACTTCGTTTCTCAGAAATAGAAGTCGGATGGTTGGAAAGAGAGGAAGAGAGAAATAAACAAAAAAAAGTATAACATATAAAATGAGTAATTAATTAGAAGGTAAAAAAGTCAAAGCTTAAGAAGATATCACTTTAGTAATTAGGGTTTATTTATAATAAAAATATAACATTTATTTTGGATGCATGTAAATATGCTGGTTGTAGTATTTATTTAATGTTTTTTTTTTCTGAAATCATGGTAAGAAAGTTTATTTTGTACTTTTCACCGTAACATCAAAAGGATAATACAATTAGCCTAATACATTCCTAATCGTGCCCCTACTTCATGATATTAACATCATAGATTTTTTTTTGATACAATGTGTTTTCAAATTATACCGTGAAATACATTTAGGGGGTTGAATTTTAAAAATATTTAATCTGATGAGATTTTAAGATACAT